TATATAAGTATATATGTTTTTTCTAGAAATAAACACTTCTGAGGATTTTTTCTGATGTTTTCTTCTTTGTAATCTATATAATTTACATACTATAGCCATATAGTATGTACATATGTATCTGCATATCTATGTATCTGCATATCTATGCATTTGTTCTCTTCTATTATTGGATAAGAAAATAATAAAAGGGAAACAAAACAACTCACAGGAAGCATTAATATTAAGTATACCATTGTTTGTTTGTCATGGCTACTTTTTCTCTGAATCTCTTTAACTTGAACCTTATCTCTTAGCATAAGTTTAACATATTCTTTTTGTCATTTAAATATTCACCACTCAGCGTTCTGGAAATGACTTCGTAGTATTTTGTTAGCAATAACTTTCTTTGGCTCTTTTGCCAAGTAGTTGATATCCAGATGCTTGTAAGCACAATAATGTGTTGGCATAAACTATCTGCCATGTGCAACTATTTATACGTCCTCACTACATTAGTAAGATATGAAAGCGATTTACAATTTCCTTTAAATAGCCACATGCACCTGCAGGCAGTTTTGGTTCAATAACGCAGAAATGAATGATAAAGATATGTTAGGCATCTTTGTTCTTTATGGCTTTAAGAGTTCAAATGACTGTGAATAAAACATTTCCTTTCCCTTTGCAGCGTTGGAAATACTGTGACTTTTTTTTTCAATTCTTGGATTAATTCTGGAGTGTTATATCTTAGAAGGAAAGAAATTTAAGTTCTATAAACTCATAGAATTTAGGCTTGATAGATTATGCTATTAAGATTTTAAAAATCATTTTGGGAAAAGTGGGAAAAATGTATGGTTCATGATTTGATGGTGGAAGAGATGAGGGGAATGCATAGAAGGACATAGCTGATGGAAGGATTCATTCCATCAGCCCAAGTCTGAATCCTGTCTCTGCAAGGTCAACTTATTTATTAGGCATAGTAGGCATGATTTTTGGTGGGGTCTCACAAAATATTTTAATTTCTTTTGAATTCAAGAAAAAACAGTTGAATATAGTAATAATGAATATGTAATAGTAAATCCAGCCTGAGTTATAATTGTCTTCATACTTAGGCAGTTACAAGACATAATTTTTAATGAAGCAACAGGCCCACAAAGACAAAAGTGCCTAGACCTCATAAAAGTGACTGCTCTGAGTGGCTCAGTGGCCTTGAGTGAATAACTTGGAATAACCAGCTTGAACCTTTCTCTTTTAATCTTTAAAGCAGAGATAGTATCTGAGAGGGCTGTTACAAGAAATCCATGAAACACTGTATGTAGGGTTCTCTGTAGACTGTTAGGCTTAGAGGAAGGGCTTAATAAATGGGAGTTACTGTTAAGTTTTGCTAAAAATGGAGACTTTGACACTCTTACCACAGTCAAAATGGCTTAAGGAGTTCATTCTTTCCTTTATTCTCTCCCTAAAATGACATTTTTCACTACATTGCTACTTGCTGAAACTGATTGTAAGGTTTGGTGAATTCAATCAGAAACAGTCTTTGTTAAGATAATTGATGGCTTTATAAGTTAACTGCTGATCTTAACCATTCAGGCATTTAACTGAAATATCTTTGGCTACACATCCAGGTTCCTTGGCTTATGTAGAGCTCATGGACCTTGTGTACATTTATATTTATTTTTCATTTGAGTATTTATAAATGAGTAGGAAACTATGATTTTTTCATTTTTAACCAAATTCTTAAATATAGGACTACAGAAAATCTGGCTTAATTTGGAAAAAAAATGTTTATAAACACTTTTACCATGAAAATTATGGTTGAGTTCCTATGAAAAATAACTGAATGAAGAAAAATAAAGTATTAGTATCACTCTTCCCCTGGCACCCAGTAATGATAGCAGTAGAGAAATGGTTTCTGAGTCTGAAAGATGTCTTCTTAATCTGATGAGTACTCCCAAGTGCAATGAATGCTGCTTTTCCCTTCTCCTGATCTGTTGACCTTTTCAGAGGTCCTGTAACCTGTTAGAAGGTCCTATTGACCCTCCCTAACCTAAAGGAAGGACCTTGTTTAAGGGGATTTCCCCCAACTTGAAAGATAATAAAGAGCACCGTTTGGAGGAAGTACTCCTGGACCCTTTAGGTCTCAGTTCTGAAATCTGGTTTCAGAATTCTGGCTTGTAAGGCTACATGTTTATTCTTGTTCATTTGTGAGTGTGGAGTCCTGAAGGAGTCACTAGCAAATGCTCAACAGGCCTGACTTGCAGGGAACCAATTTATCTCTTTTTTTATGTTAAAACTCAGATACTGAGAAGAGTGACTGGTATTGTGTCTTTGTTACATCTATAATTTTGTCTTGGCTGCTATGGGAAATGATAATTGATCCTTCTAAGCAGCCTATTGGGCTGTGTACTACAAAATTGGGAATTCTTCACCTAAGAAGCCATGAAAAAGAGCAAAATGATTTATATTTGTAATGTAGTGTGGTCCTGGTACTTATTAGAATATAGGGAAAGATGGCCAGAAATGGTTCCTTTAGTTACAATACCTTCTTGCAGCTAGACTTGTTTTGTAAGAAAGAAGAAAAGCAAGATGAATTCGCTCATGTATAATGTTTTATATTGCTTTGCCAAAATAGGTCAATAAAGAAGAGAATGTTAATCAACTGGTACTAGAGAATGTTAATAAACCTGTACTGCAGGTTAATATACCTGTATTAGTACAGGTTTATTAACATTAACTAGAGAATATTAATATGCCTGTACTAGTAAACATTATCTCTTTACTGTAAGTAAATTTTACCTACTTTGCTAATTTAGGTAAACAAATAGTCAGCTCCCCTTCTCCCTCTTTATGGGGGAGTCCTGATCACATCACCAGATCCTGAACCATAGTTCCCACCTCCAAGAGGCCAGGAATGAGGGGGTTACAGGAATTGTCTTCATTTCTTACACCTATCAGGGAATCCTTCAGCCAGGGTGCCACTTTAACTTCAGCAGGGCAATTCTGCCTTTGGCAGCTAGTTATGGGAGGTGTGAATGTCAGTGCAGGGTAAACTATGGGGCTGATTTTTGTATACTCTTCATTCTCTACTTCTGACTTACTCAATTGGAAAAATAATATGCCCACTTATTGGGATGCTTTCAAATAAATGAAAAATTGTTTTCATTTATATTTCCAATTCATAACCCCACCTGGGCCAATTTTCAAAGCCTGTTAAATCTACTTCTAATATCTGTGGAGTGGAGAATGGTCTTAGAAAGGCTAGAGATGAAGGAGATCATTTGCCTGCTGACTTCCCCAGTAACCCTGGTATAGGCAGCAGGCCAGATTTCAGTGCCTACAGCCAACCCTGGATGGAATGTTAATGCTGGAGACAAGCCTAGGCTTGAGCATTATCATGATTGCATTCTGGCTAGACTCCATCAAGAAGCACTGAAGCAAAGAAGCCTTAACAAAGTTCAAGAAGTAAAGTGAAAGTCCAGTGAGAGCCTCTCAGAGTTCCTGGGCTGCTTTTTAAAGTTTTCAGGCAGGCAATACACATATGTTGACCTCACTGTCCCAGAATATTTAAACACAATAAATATAACAGAGTACTTCCGATATTCTGAGAAAGTTGCAAAAGATCAAAGGGGGATTGGGCATGTCTTTGTCTCAATTGGTGGAGATTTCTTTCAAAGTATTCACCAGCAGTGACCAGGTTCAGAAGCAGAAAAAGCAAAGGAAAATGCAACAACAAGCCACCTTGCTGGCAGCTGCTGTAACCTAAGGAACTCTTTACCATGGCAAGGACCCTGTTTGGGCACCCAACTTAAGATAAGACACCATTTTCCCCATGCTTCCAATAAGAAGGGGCACTCCACTGCATATCCTGAGCAATGTGCTTATTGCAGACAGGAGGGCCATTGGAGAAAACATTGTCCAAACCACAGAAGGGTAAATACTGAGGAAAATCAACCTCTTGTTCACCAAATGCATTATCTGCTCCCTACAGGCAAGGGACTTGAGGCTGAGAACTTTGTTGATGAGGGACAGGAATTACAGGACCCTGGGAGCTCCTTCTGATCCAAACAATGCCCTTCGGCTTTCCCACACAGAGCTCCAGGTTGTTATAACAATGGGATACAGACTTTTGGAATTTCTAGTAGATACTGGAGCTACCTACTGGGTATTAAATACCTACCTGTCCAAACTGTCTTCAGAAACTGTGAAAGTGACTGGAGTCCCAGGGAGGACCCTATAAAGAACACTTCAACCCCTAGATTGCCAACATAGTTTCTTCAAGCTGAATTGTTACATTAAGCTCATAAGCCAGCTTCCAGCCCAGAAGAATTGCTACAAAGGGTGAGTCACCATTCCTGAGCAAACAGGACATCAGGGAGGGCTAAATCCATAACACCAGTACATGGTAATGTATGTGCAGAAATGGCACTGCCAAATATAAAACAATACCCCGACGAAAAAAGCACAATAAGATATTGAATCTTTGTTACCCATTTTCCTCCAATTTAGGCTCACTTGACCTTTCTGGCCCTCATATAGCACACCTATTTTGCTGGTTCAGAAGCCTCAGACTAAGGAATATAGGGTTATTCAGGACTTGAGACCATTAACCTAACTGCAAAGGACATTCACCCAGTGGTTTCCAATCCTTATACATTACTTATAAGTTTAGTGGTGAACTTTGCTGGTTTACAGTCTCGGTTCTGAAAGATGCTTTCTTTTTCATTCCTTTTAGTTCAGAGTCACAGAATTGTTTGCTTTTGAATGAGAGGGCCCAGATACTAAGGAAAAATGGTAGTACTGTTGGACAGCTCTCCAGACCTTTAAAAACTCTCCAGTCGTCTTTGGGGAAATTCTTGTTAAGCACCTTCAGGTCCTTCAGCCAAAATATGGGACTCTGCTCTAATATGCTAATGACATATTAGGTGCTGGCAAAAGCAAGGAGGCGGCTTCTGACCAGAGCACCATATTAACATTAAATCTTCTGGACAGACAGGGATACTGAACATGCAAGAAAAGGCAAAATGTTACAATCCTCAGTTAAATACCTTGGGGCTAAACTCTTGCAGGGACAGAGAAACCTCCCTGACTGGAAGAAAGTTTTTGCTAGAGCTGCCAGGCCTAGGATGTGGCAGCAGCTAAGGAATTTTTGAGGCCTGGCTGTGTTCTGCCACATTTGGATCCACAACTTCAGACTTATGGCAAAGTTGTTGCATCATGTTTTAAATGGTGGATATAATGATAACCCAAACTTCACACTTAATGCCTGTATCAAAATATCTCATGTACCTCATAAAAATATATACCTACTATGTACCCACAAAATTTAAAAACATAAAAAATATAAAAAGGGAATATAACAAAGTGTTAAAATGAACTGGGATTGCTAAAAAGCTTATTTGACCATTAAAGAGAAGCTGATAGCAGCTCCAGTATTAAGACTCCCCAGTATAAAGAAGCTGTTTGACCTATTTCTACATGAAAGACGAGGAACAGAATTAGGAATGATAACCCAGTATTTAGGGAACATCAAGAGAACAGATGCCTACTTCACAAACAACTGGGCACTGCCACAAGGGGATGGCCAACTTGCCTTAGGGCTATTGCTGCCAGCTGTGATTTTCTTTAGGAAGCAGAAAAGTTTATTCTGGCCCAAACAACTAGTGTGCATGCACCCCACTATGTACATCCATTACTGGGACAAAAAGGAAGCTATTGGTTGACCTCTAGAAGCCTAGGTCAAGATTAAGTTATCCTCCCAAGTAACCTAAATGTGATGTTGAGAGCTGTTATTACTTTAAATTCCACCACCTTACTCCCTCAGAAAGCATCTAAACCAATGTATGACTGCTTACAAAGTATCCAACAAGTTTATTCTAGCTGGCCAGATTTGACTGACATACTATTGGAAGATCCAAATCTGTGAGATGCTCACAGATGGATGTAGCTTTATGGACCAGCAACAACAACAACAAAAAGGCCAGGTATGCTGTGTTGATACACCAGTAAGTTTTGGAAGCTGAGTCACTTCTCCCAGAACATCACAGATAGCAAAACTCATTAACCTCACCCACATCCTGCAACTAGGTAAAGATTACAAATGACTAGCTACACAGATTCCAGGTATGCCTTCTCTGTTATCATGTGGCGATTTGAAAAAAACAAAAGAGGGATTTTTAACAAAGAAATTAAGCATTCTAAAGAGATTTTAGCTCTGCTAGAGGCAGTCATGGTCCCCAAAGAAGTGGCTGTAGTTCATTGCCCTGGGCATCAATAGACAGTTTGTTAGCAAAAGACAATAATCAGTTAGACAAGGATGAAAAGACAGCAGCAAGAGAAAAGGTCCCCCAAACTTTACTAATGCCATTAACACCTGGAATAATCCTTGACCTTGAACTGCCTGCATACTCAGAGGAGGACTTAAAAGAGCACTCAATTGGAGTTTTGAGCCTACTTGAAAAACACAGGATGGAGGGATACATAACCAAGAGGGGATAGTTTTAGTGTCTGAATGCCTCATGGGTGGCATTGCTGGACATACCCAGGGCACCAGTTAGTACATAGGTGGGAGACCCATTTCCATTGGATTCAGAGATATATTGTTGACCCATGTATGAGTAAGATTTTTCACATTTAGCGCAGCGAGTTTGAAACTGCTCGCACTTTGCTTCAAAGCCGGCTCTTGGAAGTTGAGCAGAAAGCAACGCGGCTGTGGTAGTTGCCTCTGCGGCTGCCATGGGATGATAAGCCAGGTAGAGTGGCTTGTGTCAGGGTTGCACCTAGAGGCTGGCCCGGGGCCCTCAGAGGGATCTACCATACCTATTGACTAACTATGGAAGATTATACTAAAATAGAGAAAATTGGAGAAGGTACCTATGAAGTTGTATACAAAGACAGACACAAAACTACAGGTCAAGTCATAGCCATGAAAATAATCAGACTAGAAAGTGAAGAGGAGGGGTTCCTAGTACTGCATTACAGGAAATTTCTCTATTAAAAGAACTTCGTCATCCAAATATAGTCAGTCTTCAGGATGTGCTTATGCAGGATTCCAGGTTATATCTCATCTTTGAATTTCTTTCCATGGATCTGAAGATACTTGGATTCTATCTCTCCTGGCCAATACATGGATTCTTCACTTTTTAAGAGTTATTTATACCAAATCCTACAGGGGATTGTGTTTTGTCACTCTAGAAGAGTTCTTCACAGAGACTTAAAACCTCAAAATCTCTTGATTGATGACAAAGGAACAATTAAAATGGCTGATTTTGGCCTTGCTGGAGCTTTTGGAATACCTATAAGAGTATATACACATGAGGTAGTAACACTCTGGTACAGCTCATCAGAAGTATTGCTGGGGTCCGCTGGTTACTTGACTCCAGTTGACATTTGGAGTATAGGCACCATATTTGCTGAACTAGCAACTAAGAAACCACTTTTCCATGGGGATTCAGAAATTGATCAACTCTTCAGGATTTTCAGAGCTTTGGGCACTCCCAATAATGAAGTGTGGCCAGAAGTGGAATCTTTACAGGACTATAAGAATACATTTCCCAAGTGGAAACCAGGAAGCCTAGCATCCGATGTCAAAAACTTGAATGAAAATGGCTTGGATTTGTACTCAAAAATGTTAATCTACGATCCAGCCAAAAGAATTTCTGGCAAAATGGCACTGAATCATCCATATTTTCATGATTTCACAATCAGATTAAGAAGATGTAGCTTTCTGACACAAAGTTTCCACATCTTATATCAAGAACAGATAGTTGCATTTTTATTGTTAACTCTATTTTTGTCTTATATATTTCTCTGTTGTCAAACTTAAGCTGTACTTCATCTTCTAATTTCAAAAGTATAACTTAAAATATAAATATTCTATATGCATTTAAATATAATTCTGTATATGTGTGTCGGTCTCACTGTACCAACTATTTGTTACTATAATAAAACTATAATATTGATGTCAGGAAAAAAAAGATTTTTCAAATGGTCATACAGAAATGTCTCTTCTGGGCCTGAAACAACCCTAAAACTAGCCCTCCACCCATGATACAAGGCGTCCATGCACGGAGTGAAAGGCCATCTTGAGATTGGCAGATTGACATCATCACGATGCTGAGGGTGGCAGGAAACTTTAAACATCTACTCATGTTTATAGATACTTTTTCAGGATAGATTGAGGTATTCCATTGCAGAACAGAGAATACATCTGAAGTTGTTAAGGCTCTGCTTTAAAAAATATCATCCCTCAGTTTGGCTTGCCCATTTCTAATCAGAGTGACAATGGTGCCAGCTTTGTGGTCAAAGTCACCAAGGATGTCTCTCAAGTCCTTGGCATAGCATGAAAATTCCACACAGCCTGGAGGACCCACCAGGAAGAGTGAAAAAATGAATCATGTCCTGAAAAAAGGCTTCAGTTAAGATTTATCAGGAGACCAACCTGACCTGGGATAAGGCTTTGCCTATTTCCTTGCTCAGAGTAAGAGTGGCTCTTGAAAGTAGGCTCAAATTTAGTCCTTTTGAAATACTATAAGGGATGGCATTCCCATGCTCCACCCTTAGATTAAAAGACCTCAACAACATACAGAAGAAACAGTGAGACACTGTCAGGTATGTACAAGTCTTAGGCCTGATTCTATCTGCTGTTCATAAGTTTGCTTCTAGCAGATGCTGTTTCCTACAGATGTGCCCTTTCATCATACTCAGCCTGGAGACTGGGTGTTTTTGAAAGCCTGGAAAGCCAGCATCCTGGCAACTAGGTAAAGCCTCAGTAGAACAGATCACATGAAGTCTTGGTGGAAACTCACTCCTCCATAAAGCTCATGAGGATTAGACTTTGGGTTTAGCACAGCCACATGAAGTCAGCCCCTCCTGACTTAACAATCAAAGTGCAGCCTGATTAATGCTTAATTATAACTGGGTTTTTTTTTCTGCCCAGAATCCAGCATGTAATTCTTGTAAACTCTATGGGGGCAGTTTCACCATGGTGAGCTTTCTTTGGGGAAAGATGCTAAAACTTAAAATATCTCTGGTTCTGACTTGGGTCAGAGCCAAGCTCTGAGCCTACCACAACCAGGCTCAAGAGTTTCTTCCCATATTACCTACAAGTGTTCTAGAAATAAAACTCCTTTTCTTCCCCATGCCCTTTCTATCTGTGGCATAAGTTTTATTTTCCAAGGGAGGCCTTGTCAAAGTTGAAAAACCTAGGCTCCGGTGTGAGTGCACCTTTCCCTTCTGTACTACCTTCAGCCAGCTTTTGTCACTATTGCTACGTTTAGCCCTATGACAACTCTAAAGCCACAGCAACACTTTCTTAAACACCAGCTGCTCACTCCTTGTTCTCTAATTTTCAAACTCTACAGATCCTGTGATCAGTTCTACATCACCTAATTATGAAAAACCAACTTGATCCTTTAGTGAATGTCAAGTTCTTCTGGTAATCATGAATAACCACCACTGATTAGAGGTAGTCTCTAGCCTACAATCTCTCCACTAGATGTTAACTCACAATGAAAGCAGGTCTCAGGAGAAAATCTTCCAAGCAGAATACATTTATTAACAAGCAGGCATAGTCATGGAACTTCTTAGCTTGGGAAAAGTTTCATTCTTTTGCCCTTAGTTCCGTAGACCAGAATCTTCCATGAAATATTCACTTTGAGTGGGACACAAGAGGTTCTAATGGCAAGATCTGCTGGCCTTGCAATTGGATCCTGTGGTGATATGTTTCCAGGCCAGAAGCTCTAGAGTTGGCTTCCTGTACTCTGGGCATTGCTGAGCTTGCTCTTTGTAGTCCTTATTCATGAAAGGAGTTTTGGAGCTCTTAAAGTCTTCTTAATTTCAAATCCCATTACTATTACCACCAAAAGGTTATTTATCATAGGTCTTACACTAATTAATAAGCCTAATACAGGTTGATTTACATGAAAAGTTTCTTAGGTTAATTAACCCCACCATAAGGTATTAAATTTAAATTGTCTATACCCATATGTCTACTACTTATACTGAAATGTCTACAGTTAATTGCACCCAGAAAATATCATAAACAAACCAGCTTGTGGTGTTGGCAGAGTGTTTGAGAGGGTTCCTCACTGAGCTCCTAGATGACTTGTAAATTCAATGGTTTCTTGAAGTTAGTCAGCTTCATGGCTCAGACGTAGCCCTAGGTAGAAATAGATGGTAAGGACTGGTTTCGATGGCAAAGTCCCTTAAAACATTTCAGGCTATGATTTTCTAATGTCAGTGTTTTTCTTTATCCATGAGACTGCAGTCCTTCATTCTAGCTAAATAATAATAGATCATTCTATTTTAGGCAGAGGAAGGCAAGATTTGATGGATGTCAGTTTCCAAACACCTGCAAAAACCTACGTGAGTCTTATCCTTTGAAGCTAATAGTCCCTTGGCCTCTATCATTCCCAACTACACTGGATGAGCAGATCTTCCTTAACTGGGAACCAAATACATCATTTCCTTTTGCTGGCCTACCTTGATTGAATTTCTCTCCCACTTCTTTACCAACACAAAATGTGTCCTCTTCTTATTTCTCATAAGTGTAGAGAGGCAGTGACATTGTCTCTAGCTCCTAGTTCTCCATAGGCTCTTTATGACCATGGCAATAATCCAAATAATTAGACTATAGATTTAATTTTAGAGATAGGTGATGTTAGCTTTTAAAGTGACATTATACATCACATTCTGAATTTGTTACACATTTATTTGTTTTTAATTTTATTCAATAATGATTTATTGCATGCTTACAATGAATCAGGCCATAATGCCCTAATTCAAGGATATACAATGTTAAGTAAAAATAAGCAGGACACCTGAACTCATAGAATATATTGCACCTTTGGTTAACCGATGTTAATAAAATAATCACCCATTATGATTAAAAAACTGAGAAAAAGATATCTAAAAAAAATCACATTTAACAAGGGAACATAACAGAAACTGGAGGTGGGGTTACTGTGTCACAAAGGCTTGAGGAAGTGCTTCCTAATTTTTCTAAGAGGAATGAATAGGTGCAAATCAGGTAAAGGAGATAGGAGGCTTCTGTCAGAGGAAGCCTGTGCTATGATGCTCTATGGCAGGAAAAGAAATGCCATCAGGGAGCCTGGCATATTTCAGGTACTGAAGGAAGCTGGTGTTGTTGGAGCCAGGAAAACAATGGTTCAAGACCAGACAGGAGCCAAGGCATACAAGACCCAGCCATATAAGGAATCTAGTCTTGACTTTAGGAGAAATAGAAAGTGTCTGAAGAATTTTAAGTTATTCATTGACATGATCAACTGATTGAGGCAAGATCACACACTGCACTGTGGACAGGCTAGAGAGGGTTCAAATGGAGAAGGTGAGAATAGGTGAGCTACTATAAACAACCTTTAAGAACTTTTTGACACAGTCTTTCATTCACTTATTAATTTGCTCATATTTATTCACTTGTCTATTGTACTCTCTATTAATGTTTATTGAGCACTTATTGTATGGGAAGCACTGTGAGGAATATAAGGAGAAATAAATCATAGTTTCTGCTTCCTCAAGGGCTTATTAAAGACAAGTATCTTTTTCCTCTCACAATTTGATATTAAATTATCTCAATGGATTGATTTTGATTGACTAGCTAAAAGCAGTTTAAACCCATAAATTTTTGCTCCAGTAAATTTGAGCAGTGACAACAAAATAATTCATATTAAAATCTGTAACTAACCGGCCTTTTCTACCTTGTCAAAAAATCTCTGAAAATGGCCTCAAAGTTCTCATTGTATTTTTTGGTCAGAGCCAATTTCTTTTGTCTTTCTTGATGTAGTGAAACACAGAGATACATCCCTAACATGCGTTTCTACTCAGAACCTGTTTTTTTAAATCATCTTTCTTTCACTTTAACATCTAGCAGTTGCTGTCACATCAGTCCTCTTTTCCTTATCCCATCTTTTAAAATAACTTCCTATCCCATTTCTTATACCTGTCAGATGATTTGATAATCAGAGTTCCTGTTAGAACTCAATGAATATCATCCACCTACCCAATGTCTGTGCTACTGTAAGGAAGAATGAAACAGAAATTTAGAAGAAATGTTTGTCAGGAACCATCTCAGATGTTTTCTCAACCTCTCTGGGTGTTTAGGTGGAGAAAGAAAAAGAAGAACAGTTAAGAAATGGGAAAAAAGCACAAATACAACCAAAGACCAAGGAAATCAAGGCGTAGGCAAGCAGATATTTATGGGCTGTGATTTTTTGGATCTTTTACAGAATCTTCTTTGCTGGAAAAGATTTTATATACCACTTCATCAATCAATGTTTGGTATTAAAACGAGACAAAAAAATAACCTTGCTTTTCTCTTCATATTTCAGCAGTAAGGATAGGTCAAGTTATTCTGTAGTTAGATACTACTCCAAATTTTAGAGGCTTAAAGCAACAAATATGTATTTCTTGTCCATGCTATATGTTCAGTGCCAGTTATTTAAGAGTTCTGATCTTTGTAATCCTCATTTAAGGACACACTGAGAAACCACCACTATTACGAGCATCACTGGCCATAAACAGATAATAGGAAAGGAGAAAACCTGGTGAATTGGACACTCATTCATTCAGTTTCCATCTTGAAATAACCTAAGACTATTTAGCTCCCCTATCATTGGTCAGAGAGATTTTCAATAGCAACTCTAATTTCAAGGAAAGTGAGGAAATTTAATCTGTTCATACATCTATGCTGGAAACTAGCATTATTTGCTAGAGAGCACTAATGTCCATCATTAGCCACTTTAAAAATGTCTCCCTCCCCACCAAAATATTTTGGGACAGTTTGTTATTTTAATTGTTATCCTATTTTAAGGATCATTTGTTAACTCTTAATTCATAATATAGACAATTTTCATATTTCTGTTTTCCAACTGAGTACATATGGGATACCCAGAAGTCACAGAAAAAGGAAGAGCAACTTTTAGCCATATTTCACCCTAGGGCATGGATAGGAGGGGCTGCTGGAAGCCTCCACATTGACAAATGTATTTAGCTCTTTAGATACTACAGATTTGGGCTTCATTTAAACATGTGGCTTTTTTTTTTTTGATTTCAGGAAAATCAGTAGTTATTTCAAAAAAGAAAGTCACTTGACTTTTCAATTCAATTAACGTAATTGATCAGTAGCATACATTTGAGGGGATTTAATAGTAGTGCTTATACAGAGACCTTCACCCAGAAACACAGACAGGGATGCCCATACATGTGCAGCATAAGCGCTCACATTCCCATCTGCTTAAATAGACACTGTCTTTTTATCTGTATGCACTCTTATAAACAGACGTTTTTCCATATGCCAAAAGACAGTGCATACACAAATGCAGATGTATGCTATGTATGAATACTAATGAGAAAGAGGGAGGAAAAGGGGAGGGACATTAGAGAACTAACGAAAGGTGGAAACAGGCTGAGCTGGAATAAAAAGGAGGGCATAGGATACTAAAAGGAGGACAGAAGAAAAAACAGAGCAGAGAAAAAGTGAGGGAATGAGGGAAAAAATGTATTCATGAGAAAAAAAATCTAATGCAACATAAGAGAATGTAGGTATATGTGCTGGGTTCTGACAGGTCATTCTGTGAAGGTGAGAGCTTGAATGGGGGTGGGAAAGAGTGGATGGGAACATATTCACACTCATGAGAAAAGATAAGAGCCAAACGATTCAACAAATTCAAGGGCTGTGCATGCAACTAAATCTCATCAACTGAATGTGGAGGCAGTGATCTAACAGCTTTCAAATACTGTAACACCAGCAAACACTGTCGTAGTGTGGTCTATGATCCATGTGTTGTTCTGTGCACATATATCAACTCAAAAAATACTTGTGATGACCAAAAGTAGAGCGTTCTACAAGTACTTTTATTATTCAGGTAAAAAAACTAAGACAAGATAAGGAATTTGTCAAAGGTTGTATAGTGAGTAAGTAGTAGAATCAGGATCTAGAACCAGAGTCTGTGCTCTTAACCACAACTCTCTGTTACATCTCATTCCTCTAAAGGAAATACCTCTCACTAGGCCCCACTTCCAATACTGAGAATTAAATTTTAACATGTGATTTTAAAAGGAACAAATATCCAAACTCTATCACATATGAAGGTACAGATGCTCATGTCCTCAATAATTTCCTGAAAGATGATGTATGTTTGATTCTGCCAGGGCATGTAGAAGGTGGACAATGAGAACACACGGACACAAGGAGGGGAACATCACACACTGGGTCCCAGGGGCTGGGGGGCTAGAGGAGGAATAGCAGGGGTTGGGCGGATTGGGGAGGGATAGCATTAGGATAAATACCTAATGTAGATGATGGGGCAGTGGATGCAGCAAACCACCAACATGGCACATGTATACCTCTGTAACAAACCTGTACGATCTGCACAGATACCCCAGAACTTAAAGTATAATAATGAAAAAAAAAAAAAAAAGGTAGCTAAGATGAGTCTCCTTTTGCCTTTAAATTGCTCACAATCTAATAGGATGTGTGTTATGATCTGAATGTTTGTGTTCTCCCAAAATTCACATGTTGAAATCCAAATCCTCATGGTATTAACAGGTGAGGACTTTTAGGAGATGCTTAGGTCATGAGAGCAGAGCCCTAATGAATGAGGTTGATGTCCTTATAAAAGAGGCCCCAGAGAGCTACCTTCCCTTTTCTACCATGTGAAGACACGGCCAGGAGGCACTGTCTATGAACAAGAAAGCATGCCTTCACCAGACACTGAATCTGGCAGTGCCTGGATCTTGGAGTTCTTGACCTTCAGAACTGTACAAAATAAATTTATCTAACTTAAAAGCTACTACTGTATGGTATTTGGTTACAGCAGCCCCAGATGACTAAGTCAGTGTGATAAAAGAGTTAATAAATAAGTTCAGCTGAATATTCTAGGTTTAATGTTAAATGACTGTGCTAAGTTCATTAGGAGTACAAACTAAGGCACAGTAATTTTATCTGGAAGAAGAAGCAGTTTATAGAGCTGAAACTTGGAGTGTTAATCAGGTAGACAGGGTGAAAGTGGCATTCCGGTAGGAGAATCAGTGAAAAATAAAAGCAGAGCAACATGAAACCACTGACTTTTGAGAGAAATGCAAAAAGTTGTATTTGGAGGGAGCATAGAGGAAAAGATGATTCTTGAAAAATGAATGCTGGTTATGGATGTGTGTGTGTGTGTGTCTGTGTGTGTATGGTACTGGCAGGGTGTTGAGAGAGTCTAGAATGAACATCTCCCAGTTTTCAGGATTTTGGTTGAGGAAAGGTGTACTAACATACAGTTAAAGAAAAAACTAAAATGGTGAAAATCATCCAAAGCAGTTTGAACTTTGTGAAGTGTCATATAAGAGCGTCATATGTCATTGAAATTACATATTTAATAAGGGTGCTAATAGAAAAAGCTAATTCCTCAAAACAAATCATTCCCATTGATATAAATGTTGAATGAAAAAAATTAAAACTAATATTTATAATTTGATATCAGAATCCAGGAGAAGACTATGTAAATATGATAATAACATGCAAATATATTTACAAAATTTTGACATTCATTAAAGAAAAATGTTGTTGGAGCATAGTAATTATGGAAAGAAACCATGCACTGCTCAGCTTCCATTATCAAAATATCAACAATTTAGTAGTAATATAAATGGAGAGACGATAGAGGTCTTACTGAAGATTAACTCATAGAAATGGAAAATAGGAAAATACAGTAGGAAGTGAACTAACTGTTCATGCCAAGACACTTAGGTTCTCTGGTTGCAAGGTTTTAAATGGCATGCTTTTTATCTTGGTGAATTTCAATTAGACTCTGCAATGGGCAAGTCAGGGAAAGAATATTAATGATGGAGGAGAGAGCTGGGTGGTATTCCATTCTTCACAGAGCAAGCTGAATAAGACAGCAAATGTTTGTTTAGGTTGTAGCATATTAAATGCTCATCCAGAAAATGGTGATTAATAGGTTAAAAAGGACAGCTGGAAATATTTACAATGTAAAGGTTTTACACTCTTCCCATAATCTTCAAAGCAAAGCTAAAATTTACTGTAGATTAGCAGTGCCTGTTAGAAAAACTGCACCATCTACGAAAAACATCTGAATTTTTGGTGCATAACTAACAAAATTGAAGTGTTTGGCACATATTGACTGTGAATGTAAAATGGCAGAAACATATCAGCATACTTATCTCTCTCTTTTTCCCTTAAAATGTCTAACGTTTATAACAACTTCTGGAAGAGATAAACACTGGCTCTGCTTTGCCTTAGTAGAATGTGCATAACATTCTCTCTCATGTGCAGTACAAAAAGGAAAATCTCTCTTTTTTTTTGTTCAAGTTGCACGTTTGGATTTTATCGCCTCAGATAAAATAGAACAGAAACGAGACAGATCAAACACACAATGTTGAAAGTGTAAGATGGGACTGGAATTCCAAGTCCCTTTGCCAGCAAAAGCCCTAAAGGGGGAAAACCTCAAACCTTATTTCCTTTCCTCCCCCTGGAAAAGGAGTTGCAGAGATAGTAGAAGCACAGTAGGTCCCTATTTGCTCCGGGGTAATGTAAACTTTCTGGAGCTGTTGATTGAGTTTGATCACCTGCTAGGGAGCGCGCCTGTGAAAAGAGGTTGGAAAAAGGATTGCTGGAAGTGAGCGGGAGGTTTCCCAAGATGTGTGTGTAATCTGTAAATGGGCTTTACTGACTGGCTCAAGGGAGGTCTCCAGCCCTCAGAGGTTTGAGGGGAAATCGGTCTTGATTGCAGGAGTGTGAAGGAATGAATGGTGTATCAGAAGGGTTCAGGAAATCAACGAAACTTCCTGCTGTCTGATTCCACGCAACATGCTTTGAACTTGGTCCTGCGAGGATGCGCTGATGACTAAGTGAAGGCGTGATTAGTCCCTCGCCCTCCAGCGGGAGCGGTACCTCTTTACCTCTTGGCAGCCACATCGCTCCACAGCAGGGTGATGTTGGGGGACAGGCGGCTGGGCGCGGCCCCAGTGATCTAGGGCGTCACAGCCACGCTGCATTCCCGACTTCACATCAACAGCCACCGGCAGCTTCCTCAGGAACCTTGGGGACTCTCGGGAGCCCCAGCAAGCAGCCTCGGGGAGCAGCCCGGGGCTGGGCGTGGGCTCCGCTCCTCCGGCGCGGCGTGGGCGAGGGGAGCGGCGCTCGCAACGCACCCAGGAGCCCGACGCCGCCCAGGTCTGCGCCGCTGCTAGTGCCAGGCGGGCGACGGTCAGTTACCAGGGATCGGGGCGGGGGAGAGTGTGTGCGGGGGTCCCCGCGTTCCCGGGAACCTCCTTAGCCTTCCTACCCAGTCTGACTCCTCCTCCTCCAGGCGCGGGGCTCGTGTCCGCCACCGCCGGCGCGCACCGCGCCTCCGCCCGCGTCCCCCCAATTTTCCCCCCGCCCCAGCTCCTGCCACCGTTTTCCCCCTCTTCCTTCGCCCATCACCGCCACTACGAACGCCTTCGTCTCCTTCTACACCTCGCGCCGCCGCCGCTCCTCGCGCTCGGCTCTGGCTTCCACCAGCCCATCGCTCCACGCTCGCTCGGCTGCTGAAGTCTCAGTCTCTCTCTCTCTCTCTCTCTCTCTCTCTCTCTCTCTCTCTCTCTCTCTCTCTCTCTCTCTCTTTCCTATCTCTCTCTTTCTCTCTCTCTCTCTTTCCTATCTCGTCAATATCAGGGCAAAAGGAAGAGCACAGCGAATTCTGCTCGCCGTTTCAGGTAGGGCCGCACGCGTTGGTCCCGACAGGGACCCTTTCTCGTTTGTCTGTGCCTCGCGTGCAATCCTCATCTCCCCCCATCCCGCTTTCAGAGGCTCCCTGGAAACCGGGGAGGCTCAATTGCCCCACAGTTCTCTCCCCAGAGCAGTTAAAACATAATTTCGATACTTATCTCCAGAAGCCTATTTGCGACTACAATAAAATCCAGGACGCCCGCCCAGCAGGCAGCACGTTAGCCTGGCTCTTTTAGAGTCTTCAATTTTGCACGCTGTGATTACAGCTGCCTGCCTGCCTGGCTGGTGTTTGCTGCCGGAGCCTCACGCTTCTTCTCTTATTGTGATCTTCGGCTCCGGAGCAGCTGTCAAACGCATCGTTTCGCAGCACTTGATCCGAACCCGGCAGCCTCCAAGACAAGGTCTTGGGCAACCGTGGGTGGGCAGGGAGGGAGATTATTTTATTTCGTTAAGGGGAGTGAAGAAACGGAGACGTGAGGACCGCAGTTCACTGTAATGAAAAGAATAATTGCAGAAGTGGGCTGCCTGCCCCTAGCTTTTCCCGCTGTGGTTGCTGAGGTGGTCTTGGTTGAGGGGGCTGTGGCGTGAAGTACCCATCCCTCCTCTCCTTTCCTACTCTCCTCTCCAACCCATTCCCTTTCCAGCTCATATGTCAGTTTAAAGTCCAGGGTGTTATTATTACATGTGTGCACAAAGAACTGTTTGCTGACGAGAGGCTGGGGACGGTCCTGGCAGACAGAAGTCTGATTACTTGGTCATCTTGCTGTTTAAAAAAAAAGAAAGAAAAGAAAGAAAAAGGGTGGGATGTGTGTGTGTGTGGGGGGGGGAGAAAAAGAATCTCCCAATTATCAAATCCTACACACAATCCAGGAAGTAATCTCCATAGCTTTATCCCGAATCCCTAACTAAAAGGATATTTTTTTGGGTTGATAGTGGAACTGAAGGCGATTTTAAGTGTATTTTGTTTTTCCTTCCATGGCTTTGTAAAGAGCGACGGTGATTAAGACAAAATTGAACATCTACAACATGCAGTTGCTGCTTTTTGTTTTCTTGGTGTGGGACCCTGCCAGGTGAGACATTTATTGTATTTGACTATGTTAATTCAGGGTAAAGGTGTGTTTCTTGTATGCCATCAAAGCTTTTGAGAATCTAGAGTGTTTTAAAGAATTATTTCTGAAAAAAGAGGTGTATGGGGAAAGTGCGCTATGAAGTAGTAGACTGTAAAAACTTCACTGCTTCTTGTTCTTAGTGATAAGCTCCAAAAGCAAACAGAAACATTTTCTATGCAGAAAATTCACAGAAGAAAAGAAAATTCTTTTAATGACATATTACTATAAGGAATTGAAGTGATTAGTATAGGCACTTAGAATTTAACACCAGGATTCAGTAAGGAAGCCAAGTTTCCCTTCAAAGCTGACAGAAAAGTACTGGCTAAGTGATTTGAGTGTTAACTTAATTTTTTCCCTTTTTCTTTTCCTTTTTTAAATGGTATGGCTCCTTTAGTCGTCATAGAAAACTCCAATGATGTGTGAGTCTTAAACTTCTACGTGGAGGTAGTATACAACTTCACAATCACAAACAATAAAACAAAAACTAGATTTATTAACCATAAACTTTTTGCATTATTATGATCCTTTTTGCCTCAAATACTTAGAGTCAGAAGGAGTACTTATGTAAAATATATAATGAATTTTCTTTCACCTATGCTCTAAAAACATGAAATTAATTTCTATTGCTTTCATCAACTTCATCTTAGTTGCAGTCTCTCTTGCTTTTCATCATCAGTGGGCACCTTTTCATTAATGCCTTTAGGATATGATTTTCAAAATACCAGACTACATAAGATACAAGTTTTATAAGAATATTTCTGTAACCACTCATTTTTTAAAAAACAAATGTCTTTATTATACATTTATTTCTCTTTTAACTTTTATTTTATTATCCAAGTAATGGTCAAAGTATGAAAACATTTCTTAGAATTGAGAGGCCATCTATCTTATAAAGCCTTGTTTTCATTTGGAAAATGTCTACGAATTTAACATCTACATATTGATTTGAGAAAGAAAATATAAAATATGATTAAAAACACTTTTAAGTGAAAATCTCTATGTGGAACTTTATGAACATCTTAGTTACTGGTTGTAAAATTAGCCTATGTGGGCAATATAGAAACTTTTGGGGCTAGAGAGTATAAAGTGATACACTTATTTAATTTGTAGATGTTTCTCTTCAGTTCAAGATTTTAATATTTTATCTGCTCTTAAGGAAATATTTGTTTGAAGTTGGTTACCAGTTTTTGCTGTATCATGACTAGTTTTAGCTAGTAGCTCTGTAGTCATTTAAATGCAAATTGACACTTTCAATAATATTTTATATAATGCACCTTGATCAGAATGTAATTACATATAATATTTTATTTTAAAGGAGTGGACAATCCATGATCAATTAATAATCATTGAAAATCTCAGTATTTAGACATATTTATCTCAACTAGTTTCCTGTTCTATATTTGAACAGTAATGCTTATGCCAGTATTTTATTCTATTATATAAATGATTCTTTTTCAAGGCTAGTAATTTAAATCTCTGATTCATTCTGAGGAAAAAGAATGGCAGTGAAAAGGGACATTCTGTTTTATACATTCAGTTGCTTCTGCAACAAATGGCTGCATGTCACAAAATCAGGTGTTTGGCTTTTGATGGAGAAATAATGGAGAAAATCACATTTTCTAAACCTTTTCTGGTAATATTTTAAGACCATTTGTCCTTTCTACAAATTTATTATTAAAAATGTAACTAGGCATTTTAATCTTTACATTGCATCTTATTGCTCTTCTCAGAAATCAATCAGGAAAAACTAGGCTCTAAGGCTCTCTGCAGCTGTGTATGTGTTGCTGATGCTTTCATAGCCCACCTCCACCTCCTCATTACATTTTGCCTGGCACATAGCCAGTGGAGTTTCCCTGATGTCTATATTGCACTTGGCCATTGGGTGGAGGTATAACCAAAGTAAGGGGAAAAAAATCCCAATTTAAAAGAGAAAAAGACATACGAAAAAGAAAGACACTTATGAGAGAGATAGAAAATATATTTACCTCCAAAAAGACAATTTATTTTCCAATTCATATTGAAAACAGTTATTTCAGGAGTCTGTTTGATTATTGGACTTTTCTAGCTCAGTATAGCAATACTAATAGTATTTGCATGTGAAAATCTATGATCATAATATGTCCCAGTAGACAGATTTAGAAAGAAAATGAATAGTCCACATTAAATGTTTAAGGGGTAAGAATCTCAAATAATGTTAACACCAAACTTCTGATAATCTACTATTTAGAATCTATTTCAACTTCATGTTCACCTATTTTTACAGACATACTGGAATTTATAGAAATTTTAAAAGGAGGAAAACGAGTGGTACTAATAGCTCAGGGAGTGTTAAAATTTAAATTAAGGAAGAAAAGCATTCTGGCATTTGTGAAACACACATATGTATATATATCAGCTTTTAAAATTATCTGTTTAGGTTGGTGCTGGCTAACATCCAAGAAGATGAGGCTAAAAATAACATTACCATCTTTACAAGAATTCTTGACAGACTTCTGGATGGTTACGATAATCGGCTTAGACCAGGACTGAGAGGTAAAGATAGTTTTCCTTTTTTAAAACTCTCATAAAATAACGCGTTTAAAAGTTAAGGGTAATAATCCTATTTTAACACATTTTATGTATGAATGTATCACTGTGTATGTAAAATCATAGAAAATAGAAAGATATATGAAAAAGCATTATCTGTGATTCCTTATATACACACATAATGTATTTAACATATCTTTCATAGAATACTTAAAGTCATCTGGATCCTACAGTTTCTGCATGAATAGTTTTTAAGTTAATTTATTTCAAATGGCTAACTTTCTCACACTTCGAGTATGTTAAAGTCTAGTATTATTGAGCAGATATACTTACATAGTATATTTACTTTATTTGATCATATTTTCATATCAGTTCAGATACACAGAAATAGGGAACATAAAAAGTATAAGAATATAGTGGTTGAGTTTTAACAAATACACTTTTTAGAATTCTATAATGATACTTCTTTACACATACATGTGATATTTCTAAAATACAGTGCGAGTTTGTCATTCTTGAAACTTTCAGACATTTCAGATATACACTAGATATAGGTCTAAATTTTTGGATTGAGGCACAATTTGATTTCAAATTTAAACATTAATTTTTTACTCAGAAAAATAAATATATATATTTTTGTTCAAAAAGGGAAAAGAAATTGGGTTTGGCTAATATGTTAAGTTTTAATGACCACATTTACAGCTTGTATGTTTCATAATCATTAAGATGTTTAGTTTCACAGTTAATTTAAGACAAATTAGTTGAACAGTTGATACTAATAGAAGATTTATATAGTTTACCTGGTTATTGCCAGGTTTGGTGACTTTGCAATGCTAAGTTTCTGGAAAAGATTTGTATTCGTCTGACTACATGCCTGAGTATTTATGCAAATAATTCTTCTAAAAATATAAATTTTGTGTGTATGGTTTGGATTATCCATGGGTAAGAAAAAACTCAGAATAGACCAGGCTGGTTCAATAACATGCCATTTAAATTTGATTAGTGGCCGGGCGCGGTGGCTCACGTCTATAATCCCAGCACTTTGGGAGGCTGAGGCAGATGGATCACGAGTTCAAGAAATTGAGACTATCCTGGTCAACATGGTGAAACCCCGTCTCTACTAAAAATACAAAAATTAGCTGGGCATGGTGGTGCGTGCCTGTAGTCCCAGCTACTCAGGAGGCTGAGGCAGGAGAATTGCTTGAACCCAGGAGGCAGAGGTTGAGGTGAGCCGAGATCGCACCATTGCACTCCAGCCTGGGTAACAAGAGTGAAACTCCGTCTCAAAAAAAAAATTTTTTTTTGATTAGTTTTTTTACTTGAATCCCTGAGTAATATCTTACATTTAAATCCCAGAAAGGAATAATATTCACATATATATGACACATTGCATCCTGAAGGAAAACTTCAGTTGTTTAATATATGCTCAATTTCTAATAGGAAAAATAAAAAGGAAAAGAATATCTGATTAGTAATTATTATGCCTAATAAGCATGAATATAAAGAATTACTGTCCATGTTAACATATGTGGCAATGAACTATTGGCCAAACTTGTATAAGAGAAGTAAGCCTAGTAAGTAAGAAGTAAGGCTCTCATAATTCACAATGGTACTTTAAGAGATAGATAGCACTAAGGCAGATTTTTTTTTCTAAATAATAGATTTTATTATTTTTAAATAAATCATCTACTGTCAAATTTTAAAATGTTCAAGCTAAACTGCAGACTTTATCTCTGAATTTTTAGAAGTAATATTTATCCTCTGGGTGTATGGTTGGGTAGTAGAAACTACCTGTTTGAGGACTTACATATTGTTGTCGATCTCTTTATATTTCCTTTTAAAATCTTGCATCCTTTTTATTTCCAATGCTTGCATTCAAATAGATTTTGTTTGGGTTAATGCAATACACTAAGTGGCTTTTCTTGCATTGTTTTCTTCCTTTCTCAATCCTCTGATATTGAACACAGCTAATATCTCAGTCAGGTCAGTCTTCTTTTAGGTTTATACTCCTTTTTATATGCCACTCTCTTCTCTTGATCAAGTGCCTTTGGTGGCTCCCCATTTCCTTTGGTAGATGGTGGTGAGAGATAGTGGAAGGAACATATTCCTTGGAGGCAGACAGATCTAGACTGGAATTCTGCTCCATCCACACACAAAGCTGTGCCTTGGCCATATCACCTCTGTTTCCTTTTATTTAAAGTGGCTGTTATATATTTACCTTTCTACCTTATCAGATTGTTGAGTTGTTTATATAAACAAAAAGTGTACACAAAGCATGTGCTACATACTGGCAGTTCAATGATATCAATTCTTTCCCTCCTCCCTTGGATTGCTAATTTAACAAGGATTTCTGCAGTCTACTTCTCTGGTGTCATTTGCCACTTTACCCCATCTCCCATTCTTCCTGCCCTTCAAACACATCTATTTATTTTCTCTTGATAATTCATCTTTTCTACTACCTTGGTTTTTGGTCATATGATCTCCTCTGACTAGAATAATTTTTTCCTCATCCCCTCTGGTGATCCAAACCCTACCTTTCCTATGAAAATCATCTTAACACCAGTCCTTTTTAGTAAAGATATTTTAACTGAATTGAAGCACCCAGAATATATTTTCTCTCTTGATTTTTTTTAACTAGTCATTGACTCTGTGTCTCCTAGTACTTATGTGTTATCATGTATGACTTATTACCATTTTATGTTTCTCTTGTTACCTTATTAATATTCAAAGCTCATTGAGTCAAGATACTACATAATAAATTCTCTGTTTTCTCAGCAGCTAAATATTGATTTGCAAATTGTGGTCATAAAATAAATGTTGATGCTTGATTAACTTTTCTGTGACCAGTTAATTGTCTGGAAAATGGGACTACTCATATCTGGCTGACTTTTGAGTTAGGAGTGTTGAGGTGATATGTTGAGTATTGCTCTGTAGGAGAGCAGTGTGACTTAATGAAGAGAACCTTGCTTTAGACTGGGCATTTAGTAAAATCCTGGCTCTGGGGCCAAGCAGTTGTGTGACCTTTCAATCCTTAGCCTCTCTGGATCTATATTTGTCATCTGTGAAACAGGATTTCTAATGCCATTCTTAAATTTTCTGATGAATATTAAATATGATATATGCAATGAATTTAGCACAGCAACTGACAGTTTATAAATTACAATCTATAAGATACTGAAGTCTTATAAATGACATATAAGATTTATAAATGACAACCAAAAGACTGAAGAACTTTCTAAATGTAGTGTTGCAAGTTTAAATTATTATGTGATTGCTTCTGCATCCAAAATTTTTAGTCTGAAGGCACACACGTCATTTCAAATAGAAAGCTCAGGGAAATAACCTATATCATTATTTCCCAGAAATGAATAATAAGGGAAAAATGGGTTTAATTCAATTTTAATATGTTAAACTGAACATCTCTATTGATGGGCAATCTAGTTAATCTCAAATACTATTTTCTTTCCTTTATAACTTGAATATAAATAGGTACATAGAAAAGGGGAACCAGTTTTGAACTATGAGTTAGAAAAATTGTTCTTTTCACCTTGCTCTGTCACTTACCACCTCTTATTGTAGGCATTTTGAGCCTTGATATTTTCTTTGGGAAACTGGGAATAATAGAATTTTATTCTGAGAGGAGGAGAGACCATTGTGATTCATTTATATGGCAAAGATTATGTAATACATCGAGTAAAGAAATCTTAAGGTATTTAATGATTAATAATAGATCCCTTTAAAAATTTAAGTCAGAGCCTGCCCCTCAACTGCTCAGATCCTTGCAATGGTGTCCTATTCATTCAGAATAAAAGCTATAAGGTTTGTCTCCTCACTCTTTCTTTAACCTCACCTCACACAACTCTCCCTCTTGCTAGCATTGCTTCAGTCACTTTGACTTCGTTCCTACTTTTTGAACACACTGGGATGCTCTTTGGAGCCTTTTCCCCCGTTGTCTCCTCTTCCCTGGTATATCCACAGATCTCAACCTCTCAGTGAGGTCAACCCTGACCAACCTAATGAAACTCCAACCTGTCTATCCATAAGCAATCCTGATCCCCTTTGCCCAGTTTCATTTTTTATTTGTGCTTCTTTAGCATTTTTAATATATACCATTATTTATTTATTACCATTATATTAATTGCACATTTTTGTCTCTTTTGCTCGAATGTATGCTCTATGAGGTCAGGAAGTTTTGCCTGTTTTGTAGCTTGATTCACTGATACATCTATGCTAAGCATCTAGAACAGTGACTAGCACATAGTAAGCATTGAACTAAATATCTCTTGAATGAGTCAATTTTATTAGTTAATTCATTTTTGCTTTTAGTATGCCACCATGAAAATGATCAGCTACAGAGCTTAATTCATCCTTAAAATTAATGGAGGGATGATTTAATTACTACCTCGGCCTTTCACTATTAACATCAACATATTTGAAGTTGATTTCTTGGTGAATTGGAAAAATTATTACACCAAAGACTCAGACTCCTGACTTACAGTACCTGTGATTCCGCCATGAATGAACTGTAATTTGGAGTGATTCATTTGTCCCATCTATGACTTAATTTGCTCATCTGTCAATTGGGAGTAGGAGTTCCACATATTCTATTTATATCTCATAGGGATAGCATATGGCTCAAGTAAACTGAAATTCTTAAGAAAGCACAATGTGACATGCAATTGATAGGTATTAGTATTGTCAGAGGAGAATTCTTCAAGGGGAATATTATGTTAGGGAGTAATATTCTTCAAAAACATGTCAAGAAAATACTGATAGGTCCTATGCGTTTGGTAGTCTTACTCCATTGTGGGCCTGAACACTTGAGATGGGATTGCCTGAAAAATCTTATCTACCAAGACCATGCATTCAGATTAGCTAGAAATAATAACCAAATCAAGTCTTCTTTTTGTCTTTTGTCTTCAATTTAGTTATTAGAGCCAACAAGTTGGGGTATCACCCAAATGAAAATATTTCATAAGGGACTTTCACGTTGTTAAATGAATAAA